GATATGAGGCTAAATTAGCCACGTCATGCAGGAGCTCATGTGTTTAACAACCATGATACAAGCTTGGTGTCAGTGAATAAGCAAAAAAAAATGAATAAATAGAAAAGAATTAATAACAAAGACATTTTGCGGGTTGATAAATTGGTCTAGGTTGAAGTTTATCCTATGCAGCAGCATCCTTCTGTAGAGTTTTTAGAGCATTGACTGACTGAGCCCAGAAACAAATATGGATAACTGTCTACCAAACGGATCAAATTAAGTACAGTTGGAATTATTTGCTGTCTTAATTATAAATATCACAAACTGTAATTAATTTCAGTTCATTTATATATTAGCAATTCACAACATGTCATTTCGAGGTACTTTAAAGAGACAATTCAATCAAATCATGGCTGAAAGTTTTCTATCTCCGGAAAGCCAGCTGATTGCATGGAGTCATGAACTTCACCTGGATTGTGTTGTTGACTCTTCAGTAATCCTGTAATCAATGCATCAATGAAAAACGAGACTTCCAAAGTATGGCTGTGAACATTGTAAAGGTAATTCAGCAGCTCTTTAAGAGAGATCCGTTATGCATTCTGTTTCATTTAGCAAAGATTTGGGTCACAACAGTAGAAGTTTCAGGAGCAAAACCGTGAAGGGTTACTGTTCCCTTCTATGACACACATTGGTCATATTCCTTCTCTCAGGACAAAAGACAGGCTGGAATGTAGATAGACCAGTAAAGTGAAACTTGTACTTTCTGACTCAGCATGTTCTTTACAGCAATAGTGCATCTTAGTACTTACATCTAAAGCCTAAATCTATATATCAATCTTCAGTGTCCTTTCGAGTCTGACCTACTGTAATCATACGTAGAGATCTGTTTCTTCTTTGGTTGGAAATGCCATGTGCCTTTTGCCTAACATCAGCAAAAATATAGTGTTTTAAACATTAAATTTGAAATGAAAAACTAGTTCATATAAAAATATATATTGTTGTTAAAAACAGAAAGACCACTTTTTTAAGTCATGTGTCAATTTATAGTGTTTACATAGACAAAGTGCTTTCAGAAACATAAGAAAAATTATTATAAAGAACTAGAGGTCAATTTATTATCTTTATGTATATAGATGTATACATTGCTATTTATCTATAAATCTCTCTCTCTCTCTCTCTCTCTCTCTCTCTCTCT